ATTCAATTATTTTCATAAATAATAAAAATCATCGAAGAATTTCAATTATTTTGGAAAATTTTAATAAAATTCTTTGCAACTATTCAATTATTTTCTTAAATAATAAAATTCATCGCAGGATTTCAATTATTTTAAATAAAATTTTACAGGAATTGCTCAAGAAATGTAATTATTATTAAAAATTTAATTTCAATTCCTCGAAAAAATCAATTACTTAAAAAAATGTTTTTAAAAATTGTTTGAAAGAATTCAATTATTATTTTCAAAAATATTAGAATTTTTCACAGGGATTCAATTATTTTCCAATACTTTATAATAAAATTGTTCGAAAGAAATCATTTATTTTAAATACAATTTTAATTAAATTTTTTTGAAATAATTCACTTATTCTTTTGGAAACAATTTTAATTACGTGGATAAATAACAAAATTATTTCCAAAAATTCAATTATTTTTTAAATAATAAAATTATTCGCAGAAATTTAATTATTTTCATAAATAATTAAATAAAATTCTTCTCCAAATTTCAATTATTTTAAAAAATAATAAAATTTCTCGCAGGAAGTCAATTATTTTGACAAATTTTAATGAAACTCTACCGACCAATTCAATTATTTTCAAAAATTCTAATAAAACTCTTTGCAAGAATTGAATTATTTTATAAATAATAAAATTATTTGCAGAAATTGAATTATCTACAAAAATAATAAAATTTTTAGCAGAAATCTAATTAATTTTTACAAACTTCAATTAAATTCTTCAATTTTTTTACAAAAATAGTAATAAAATTCTTTAAAAGAATTTAATTATTTTTAGAAATATTAAAATTCTTTGCAATAATTTAATTATTTTTAGAAATTTTAATTAAATTCTTCGAAACAATTCAATTATTTTCCAAAAAAATTTAATAAAATACCACACAGACATTCATTGTCAAAAATTTTAATAGAATTCTTTGTAAAATTTAATTATTTTTAAAAACTTTTTGCAATTCAATTATTTTTAATATCTACTATTTTTATAAAATTTCCAAACAGAAATCAATTATTTAAAAAAATTGTTTGTAAAATTCTTCGCAAGAATTCAATTGTTTTCATGAATAATAAAAATTTCTCAGGAATTCAATTATTATTTGAATTAGAATTTGCATAAAATTAGGCGAAAGAAATCAATTATTTAAAAAATTTTTTTTGCTACTTTTTCAAAATTAATTATTGAGTGGGAAGTCTGTATAATAATAATAATAATAATAATAATAATAATAATAATAATAATAATAAATTAATAATTCATTGATTTAATTAATTTGCAATTAATATTCAAGAGGAAAATAAAATATTTCATGGAAAGGAAAGAAAAAAATCTAAAAGGTCGGTAATATTCATATAGGAATTAAATTATTATTTATTTTTATTTTTAAGGACGAATCCTTTTTGATAATCTGGACTTGACATTAAATTTGATAGTAATTTTCGCCATATTGAGATGGAAAATATTATATGGGGTGAGCCAATGTGGCCAAACAACATGCCCAGGGTTCAAAGCCCCGAGGCATTTCGACCCTTTGCTTTTGATCCGACACTGTCAATCATGTTTGTAAAATTAGTTTCTATATTTTCAAACTTTATAATTTTCATATTTCATTGCAATTATTCGAAGAATTAATATCAAAACTGAAAATTAAAAATTAAATCCATCTGAGTGAATTACCATTTTTTTCTCAATTTGATATTTCTAAGGATATCAAATTGAGACAAAAAAAGTATCAAAAATGTTGCTTCACAACACTTTTGATACTTTTTTTTGTCCCAATTTGATATCCTTAGAAAAATTGCGGGAATTAAATATAATAATTTTGATTTAATGCATATAATAAATTTAATTCAATAAAAATTACGTTTAGATAATTCAATTATATAAAATATGTTTAATTCAAACACTTTTTTTGGTTGGCTCCATATTTTGGGATTAAAAAAAAAATTTTTTCCAGTGTTGGAAAAAAATACAGAATAATAGTGAACATTGTCTGTCACACAATAATAAACACTGGAACAGTAGTTACAAAACATTTTTACTTATTCCCTCCAAATAAAAAAAAAAAATCACTGAACTTGTTTTTATTTTCCATTCAGAAAAAGACGATATTAAATAGAAGAAATATTGAAAATCTTACATTTTTAGCGAAGTGTAATAAATTCCTTGTGTAAATAGAAACTGGTGATTATGTTTGCAAAGCAAGGCAAGTATACGCTCGTGAATTTTGCTGGTTGTTAGCAAAGTAAATAATCCCTTCCGTGGAGACAGACAAGACAGTGTTTGTTCATGAGGTAAATAAATTATTTATTTACCTCATTTTCACGATTTACAAGCAACAGGTATTAATTTAATGTTACTTGTGAATATTAATATACTTTTTACATTAAACAAATGTAATATTCGATTGGTTCTCTATATTTATTTTCTTCCCTATTTTTTCATCTTTTTCTTTACATGCAAATCGATTTACAACAGAAAAACATTTTCAAAATTAAGTTTACATCTTGCAGGACAATAAAAACGAAAAAATTTTATTTATTTTTCTCTGCAGAGTTCGATCAAAAATTTGCTTGAAACGATCAAATTTTTCTTTAGACGAAAAATTGATTAAACTGAAGCAAATATTTATTCAAATCAAATAAAAATAAAAATAGGCAATAATGATAATAATAATAATAAAAATTAAATAATATATAAAAAATATAAAATATATAAAAAAATAAATATATATTTAAAAAATAATTAAAATAACTAAATCGTATATTTAAATATTAAATAAGAACTCGTGTGTGTGTTTTGTGTGTAAAAACTTGCATATTTATTGAACCGTGATTCGCAGCTGCCACAAGTAGGCCATTCCCTGTGGAATACAATCGACCAGGTCTTTTTCTACCAAGTTTTCATATCAACCCCTTTCACAGAGTATAATTGCACACGTGCCTTAAAGTGCCATCAATCTATTAAACAGGGATCCATTTAATTTCACTCTAATCGAATTCTCTCTAGAGAAATTTGCACATTTCTCTCTTTTTCTCTTCTTCCTTCTACTTCTTCGTTTCCTTTGTTTCCATTTTATTGACAGTAAATAATTCCCACAGTGAAATATTAAATTTACCGCAATTTATTTGAAAATGTTTAGCAAAAACGGAGTAAAAAAAAGAATGAAGAAAGAAATTATACTCTCAAATTATTCGTATTACTCAGCAGACGACTCGAGTGTGTGTGGCTCAATAACTCGAGTTTGTGTGTGTGTGTGAGTCTCAATAACTAGAGTTTAATTGTATTTTGAATTTTCAAATTATCAAACTTAGATAAATGAATAATTTTTTTTTTATTGATAATAATTAAATAAATGAATAATAATTGATAATAATTAAATAAGTGAATATTAATTGATAATAATTAAATAAATTAATAATAATTAATAATAATTGAATAAATGAATAAGAATTGATAATAATTAAATAAATGAATAAGAATTGATAATAATTAAACAAATGAATAATAATTGATAATTAAATAAATGAATAATATTTGATAATAATTAAATAAATGAATAATAATTGATAACAATTAAATAAATGAATAATAATTGATAACAATTAAATAAATGAATAAGAATTAAGAAAAAAGTAAACTATAAAAATATAAACCATAACCAAAAAAAATTTAAAGATTTAAAAATAAAATACAGTAAACTAGGGGTCGGAAACAATAAAAGGGTTAAAAGAAAAGTAAAACTAAAAACACAAGTACAATTTAAAATAAAAATCCCCGTAAAAAATAAATAAATTTTTGTAAATTTGTTTTTAAAACTTAAACGAAATAATATTCAGAAAGATAAAAAATAATTAAATGAAAATAAGTCAAATTGACAAAATTTGTACAGAAAAGAAAAAAAAAGGAAAAAATTGAAAAATTCATTAATAATAATAATTATCAAACTCTTGAAGTGTTTCTCCCCTCCCAATGGGAACTCGACATGTTGTCAAAGAGAGAGAGAGAGAGAAAAAAATAATTTTGTCCTCCGGAGCATGACGAAGAAAATGATCCTTGAAAAAGGGGAAAAATAAATTGTGTTTGCTAAACATTGAAGGCCAATGTTTTCTGCAGTTATTAATTGCTAATCGAAGGGTTTCATATAAAAAAAAAGATTGTGTAGAAGAAAAGAATTGGGAAAAGTGGAGGGGTGGGGGTTGAAATTTGAACCCCTCGGGAATAGAAGAGGTTACTTAGCCATGGGGTTTACATCTGTCGATTCTAGTTTTAAAGGGTCTCCTCCAATTGAGCTCAATCTTTAGAGCAATCAGTCTCAGTGTTTTTTATCCCACCCCTCGGGACAGTCGAACCACCTCCAATCATTTTTTTTTTTTATGAGGGAGAGAGGCTCAATTTCAATATTTAACGAACAAATTAAAAAATTGTTTTTCAAGAAGCACTCGATACAATAATTTTTGTCGTCATTCTTTTTTTGTGACAAAAAAAACAAACTTGTCTCTTCAATTATAATTTTAAATATTTCTTCTATTTTTCGAAGAAGTGAGGAGAAAATATTTCTTTTTTTCTCGTTTGATAAAAAAATGCTAATTTAAATATAAAAAGTTTTTCAAAAATTATTTATTTATTTTTTCTTTAAGAATTGTGACTATTTTTATGTACGGCAAAAAAAAATCGTAAAAAGTAACGTGAATTAAAAAAATAATTACTAAATAATAAAAAGTAGATCTATGATTTTCGGTCACGTTAAGTATAAATTAAATTTTAATTATTTTCCATTTCAGTGTTTAGTAATTTTTTATATTTAAATTTATAAAAAGTTTCGTTTGTATGAAGTATGAACCTTTAGAAAAAAACAACAAAATTAAGTTTTACGAAAATTTTTTTATTATATTCACTTATTCAAGTGACGAGGCTATAACAGATTTAAAGCATAATATTAAAAATTAAAAGAATTAATTAAGGACATAATTTTTTGTATCAATTCACTTTATTTACAAATAAAATTTGTAAAATAACAATAATTATTCATTCATAGTGAATAATTTCGATAAAAATAATTTTGTCAATTTTTTTTACGTCTACAGCCACCCTCACAGTTACATCCAAAAATATTACAAGGTCCAACACCACAATAAAATCCTTTTACAACTTCATTTCCATCCTTACAAACAGAGCACTTTTCTCTATTCATCTTGCAAGATCTACTACCGTCGCCAGTTGGATAACAACATTCAGCATGACACTCATTAGTAAATAATAAAAATGTTACAATAAATAACAGCCAGTAAATTTTCAACATTGTTGTTATTTTCACTCAATTTGCTGTTATATTATATATACTGCAAAAAAAGTAAATTAAAATTAAAATTAATTAAATCAATTAAATTTAAATTAGAAATGATTTCGATATTAAAAATTAAAATAGAATGAAATTAATATTCAGTAGCAAAATTGGTAATAAATTAGTACATTTCTTCTTACCGTGTGGATTGCAGTTATTGAAGTTTAAATTTTCAAAATGTTCTGCCAATGCAAACGTTTCTATACTCTTTGACACTTTCTTATATATACTGTATAATTTTGTCGCAGTTCAAAAATTTTTGAAACAAGACGAATGCAGAGGAAAACAATAAAAAAACTACTAAAAATTGTCATGTACTTTCATGAGGCATTCAATTTTTTTCCTAAAGTTTCAAATCACGATATTTTTGCAGCTTTTAATTTGAATTTTATTTTTAAAAAAATTATTTTGTTCAATAAAAAAATTATCATAAGCGTTGTGACCTTCGTCAAAGTTTTTAGAATCTATCATTTCACAGGTGGAATAAATAATAAAAATACGCAACATAAAAATTATTACAGTCTCAACTTCACGAATCGCATTTTTTCAAACGATTCAAAAACACTTTTTTTTACTTTTTTTTAATAACAGAATTATTAATTTTTATACTATTTTTAACATTTTTCTATATTTTTATTTTTACTTCAATAAAGTAACGAGGATTAAAACAATAATTACTAAATAATAAAGAGTGGAAGATATACAATTTTTAGTCACGTTGAATATGAGCTAAATATCAATTATTTTCCATTTCAGTGTTTAGTAATTTTTTATATTTAAATTTTTAAAAAAAAGTTTCGTTTGTATGAAGTATGAACCTTTAGAAAATGTACAAAAATTATCATTTGCGAGAATTGTTGTATTACATTCATTTATTCAAGTGACGAGAATAACAGATTTAGAAGCAATTTAATATTAAAAATTAAAGGAATTAATTAAGACGTCATTTTTTGTATCAATTCTCTTTATTTGCAAATAAAATTTGTAAAATAACAATAATTATTCATACATAGTGAATAATTTCGATAAAAATAATTTTGTCAATTTTTTTTACGTCTACAGCCACCCTCACAGTTACATCCAAAAATATTACAAGGTCCATAACCACAATAAACTCCATTCCAAATTTCAGTACCATCCTCACAAATTTTAGCTAAGCACTTTCCTGGCACATTCGTACAATTTATATGAATGGTAGCAATTGGAGGACAACATTCAGCATCACACTCATTAGTAAATAATAAAAATGTTACAATAAATAACGACAAGTAAATTTTCAACATTGTTGGTATTTTCACTCTATTTGCTGTTATATTACACTGTAACAGAAAAGTGCTAAATTAGAGATTATTTCGGTATTAAAATAAAAGCAAATTACGATTTATTAGAAAAATTGAAAAAATAATTAATTAATTAATTAATTAATTAATTAATACTAAATAAGTACCTTTCTTCTTACCGTATAGTTTGCAGTTATTGAAGTTTAAATTTTCCAAATGTTCTGACAATGCGAACGTTGTGACCTTCAGCAAAGTCAAAGTTTTTAAAATTTATCATTTCGCAGGTGGAATACATAAAAAATATTTTTAAAAAAATTTTGATAAACGTTGTGACCTCTACCAAAGTCAAAGTAGCATAAAAATTATTAAAGTTTCACGAATTGCATTTTTTTATACGATTCAATATTACGTTTTTACTTGGTAACAGAATTATTAATTTTTAATTATATTTTTTATTTTACTTTTTCGTTATTATATTATTATTAGTTGTGAGTATAATTAACAGAAAAATAACCAATGTTGATGTTCATAGTGGATTCAAACATTGTTTTCTTCCTTCCGAATTCTACTATTTGTTAATCCTGTTTTAAAATAATAATAAAGTTTTCTAAAAGAATTCAATTATTTAAAAACAATTTTTATAAAATTCTACGCAAACATTTAATTATTTTTATAAATTATAAAAATTTCACAAGGAATTCAATTATTTACAAATTTTTTTATTAATTTCTTCACAATAATTCAATTATTTTCATAAATATTAAAATTTCTTACACGGATTCAATTATTTTCATAAATATTTAATTTGATAATAGTCAATTAATCAGTTATTTGAATCAAAAAAATTTTTTTTCAGTATAATGAAAATTCAATTTTAAGAAACATTTAATTATTTAATAAATTATTTATTTTTGTATTTAAATAATTGAATTCCCTTAGAATTTTCTAATAAAAATTTATTTAAAAGTGAATTTTTGTTAAAATTTTATAAAATTTATGATTTTAATAAAATTTTGCAAAAGAATTCAATTATTTGAAAAAATTCTACGCAAACATTCAATTATTTTCATAAACAATAAAAATCATCGCAGAATTTCATTTATTTTTAATACAACCAATTTTAATGGAATTTCTCGAAAAATGTAATTATTATCAAAATTGTTTTCTAAAATTTTAATGAAATTCTTCGTAAAATTCAATTATTTCCAAAGAATTTAGGAATTCAATTATATTTATAAATAATAGTGTTTTATTATTTATGAAAATAATTAAATTTCAATTATTTTTAATACAATTTTTATTTTTTATCGAAATCCTCGAAAAATTGTAATTATTCTTAAAAAAAATTTTATTAAAATTCGTCAAATTCTATTATTTATTTTTCTTTATAAATAATGGAATTCTCGTAAAGTGTTCTATTAAAAATTGATTTAAAAGTGAATTTTAGTTAAAATTTTATATAAAAATTGAATCTTAAAAGCTTTATAGCATTAATTTTTAGAAATAATTGAATTTTGAAAAGGTTTCAAATTAAAATCTTTGAAAATCGGAATTCTTCATACTTTTAACTAACAATGCTGTAGAATTAATTATTTTGAAAAAGTTTAATTGATTTTTTTTTTTTTGAAAATATTTGAAGTTTTTATTTTCTAATAAATATTAAATTGCGAAGAATTTCCTAATAATCGAAATTCCTTAAAATTGAATTGTAAACAAATCAATTTAAAAATTCTTAAAGAGCTTTTTCAAAAATTATGAAAAATAATTCATTTAGAAAAGAAATTAAAATTACAAAGTAATTTTGTCAAAACTATTGTCATCATTTTAATTTAATTATTATTTTTTACAATTTTTAAATAAAATTCTTCTTTAAATCAATTATTTTTAATAATTTTTAAAAAAGTTCTTTGAGACTTTTCAAATTCATTTGTTTACAATTCAATTTTACGAAGTTTTAATTATTCAGAAATTCGTCAATTGAATACTTATTAAAAAATGAACACTTCACATAATTTCAGAAAAAAATTTAATTAAACTTTTTTAAAATAATTATTTCTACAAAATTGTTGGTTATAAGTTTGAAAAATTAAGATGATTTTCATCATTTTTAATAAAATTGTTATGAACAATGACATTTTTCGAGGAATTCTATTAAAATTGTATTAAAAATAATTTAAATTATGCGGATGAGTTTTATTTATGAAAATAATTGAATTCCTAAAAAGAATTTGATTATTTATGAAAATAATTCAATCCCTGTAAAAAGAATTTGATTATTTATTGAAAATTATTAAATTATTGCAAAGAAATTTATAATAAAATTTGTAAATAATAGAATTCATATGAAATTGAGGAAAATTTTTGAAAATAATTGTAATTTTGTCAAGAATTTTATTAAAAAGTTAAAAAAAAAATTAAATTTTGCCGAGAATTTTATGAAAAAATTTTAAAATAATTGAATTTTGGAATAGAATTTAATTACTTTTGAAAATAATTGAATTTATCCAATTGTTTATAATTTTTCTAAAATTAAATTTTTTTTAGTATTTTTAAGTAAAAAATTCGTCTATAAATCTATTATTTTTAATAAAGAATTAAATATATATTACAAAATTTCACAAATTTCAGAAGAATTAACATTATTAAAATTTTTCAGAAACCTAAATTACCTTTAAAAGTTATAATGAAATTCATTGAAAATTGAAATTTTATAAAATTTCAATATTCATCTATTTATGAAAATTGTAAACGCAACTCTTTGAAAATTCAATTAATTTTAAACTACATTTCATTTGGTCTTTCGAAAGTTATTCAATTATTATTTAATAACTTTTTTGTTTATAAAAATTTTGTATAGACATAATATAAAAATTTTTTCCTTTATTTTATGCTGAATTTTTTCCAAATAGAATTAAGTGATTTGTTTAAGATGAAAAGAAGATATAACAATTTTAAAATTTTTCACAAATTTTGACATCTCAACTATACTGAATATTTTAACGTAATATTTGGTGGAAATATTTCTTTTTATGTGTAGATTTAAATTCCTAAGTTTCATTGCAATATTGCAATCATATGTATGCATTTAACCTTTTTTTTGCTTATAATAATTTTTATTTTCAAATTATAATTTAGTATGCCCTCAGTTGGGGCCAATCAACTTTTCTAAACAGTATATTAACCTTTAAAGTGCTAAGTGTTGAAAAATCACGCTCAGTGCTAACCCCGGTCTGTCAGACCGCTATTCCCTTTTGACAGTTTTTAGTCATTTATAATTTTTAAAAGAAAACTATTATAAATATTTTTTACTTTTTAACAAAAAAAGTCATTTCTGTATTATGCATTTATTTATTTTGCTTCCTCATAAAGGAAGCCTTATAGTGATATCGATTTCCGAATTTTTTAAAATCAATTATTTTTACAAATTTTCAAGTGTAGTATATATAATTCGTCGAGAGGAACAAATGTCCGGATGTATGTGTGTATGTATGTGTGTGTGTGTGTGTGTGTGTGTGTGTATGTCACCGATTCTTGTGGACAAATTTTCTCTTACACGTCTTGACGGATTTTGATAAAATTTTGTAGGTGTATTACGGTCACGAATACCAAAAATCAGACAAAAGGATTTTCAAAAATATCTAAAAAAAAAATTTTTTTCAACAATTTTTTAATTTTTGAAAAAATTAATTTTTGGATTTTTTGAAATAACTTTTTTCTATATTAAAATTTTTATTAATTCTTGTCAAAATTGCATTCCTGACATAAAAACGAATCGATTCATGTATATAAAGTATATATTTTATCAAAATTTATAGAATTAATAAATACTTTAATTTTTCACAAAAAATTCAAATTTTGTATTTTTTGAAATTTTATCTTAACACTTTAAAATAATTATTCTAAAATAAAAAATTAAACAATTGGTATATATTATATTTTAATAGTAGCACCCTCACCCGAACGCCATCAGACAATCATAATTTGATAAAAAGGAAAATAAAAATTTATTTTATCCAAATTTATTTAATCTAATCATCTGAAAATTACCAGAGTTCTAGTAGGGACTGAACCCTACACAATCCTGAAGAATAGAGAATTTTATTTCCATTTTTTAGTAGTAGCAGGTCCACCCGTACGCCATCAGACAATCAAAATTTGGTAAAAACGAAAATAAAAATTAATTTCATCCAAATTTATTCAATCTAATCATCTGAAAATTACCAGAGTTCTAGTAGGGACTGAACCCTACACAATCCTGAAGAATAGAGAATTTTATTTCCATTTTTTAGTAGTAGCAGGTCCACCCGTACGCCATCAGACAATCAAAATTTGGTAAAAACGAAAATAAAAATTTATTTCATCCAAATTTATTCAATCTAATCATCTGAAAATTACCAGAGTTCTAGTAGGGACTGAACCCTACACAATCCTGAAGAATAGAGAATTTTATTTCCATTTTTTAGTAGTAGCACCCTCACCCGAACGCCATCAGACAATCAAAATTGGTAAAAACGAAAATAAAAATTTATTTCTTCCAAATTTAACAAATCTAATTATCTGAAAATTACCAGAGTTCTAGTAGGGACTGAACCCTACACAATCCTGAAGGATAGAGAATTTTATTTCCATTTTTTAGTAGTAGCAGGTCCACCCGTACGCCATCAGACAATCAAAATTTGGTAAAAACGAAAATAAAAATTTATTTCATCCAAATTTATTCTATCTAATCATCTGAAAATTACCAGAGTTCTAGTAGGGACTAAACCCTACACAATCTTGAAGAATAGAGAATTTTATTTCCATTTTTTAGTAGTAGCAGGTCCACCCGTACGCCATCAGACAATCAAAATTTGTTAAAAAGGAAAATAAAAATTTATTTCATCCAAATTTATTTAATCTAATCATCTGAAAATTACCAGAGTTCTAGTAGGGACTGAACCCTACACAATCTTGAAGAATAGAGAATTTTATTTCCATTTTTTAGTAGTAGCAGGTCCACCCGTACGCCATCAGACAATCAAAATTTGGTAAAAAGGAAAATAAAAATTTATTTTATCCAAATTTATTCTATCTAATCATCTGAAAATTACCAGAGTTCTAGTAGGGACTAAACCCTACACAATCCTGAAGGATAGAGAATTTTATTTCCATTTTTTAGTAGTAGCAGGTCCACCCGTACGCCATCAGACAATCAAAATTTGGTAAAAACGAAAATAAAAAATAATTTCATCCAAATTTATTCA